GGGGGGGGGGGGGGGGGGGAAGGAGTGAGAAATCACCTGTACAAGGGTATTTTTTTATCACCGCGAACGATAAGATCCTGGGAGTGGCAATTGGATACATTAAGATATTAGCGAAGAGAGGTAAAAGAGAATAAAAGATACAGTGTTTGATTTAACTTAGACAAAAACATCATACTAATATGCTTGCAATGAGAATACTGGTTAAAAATAGTAATTCATTTTAAAAGGGGGGCATGAAATGAAAACAATTTGTATGGGCGACAGCAGCACTGAGCATTATGAGCTTCAATGTTGAACACCAGATTGTTAAAATTAATAAAGATTATTCCCATAATTGAAGTATACAGGCTTCTTCTCATAATCTGCTCCTAGACAGATGACAATTAGACAACTAATTTCATGTAACTATATTTTGCTCAAAGATGGAATTGAAAGAAACATTAATTAGACCGTCAAACACATTAACTTCTAAGATAAATTTTATTCTACTGCAGTAACTTTCAAGTAGCAGTGATGAGAATTAGGGACTTAATACTTTCAAAAGCAACGAACTGACAAAAGTAAATTGTTAAAATGGCAAAGTACTATCCCTATATGAACCTATGATACTTCAATTCATAAATTTTATATGTGAGCACAATTTATCAGCTTAATGTTTTGCAATATTAATTAACAAGTCTACAACAATACTGCTAAAGGTCATCATGCCACAGAACCTGAGGTGGGTGGAGTTGCCATTTGTTGACAAGAGACCAAAACTTATGGTTTCTAATAATTAGGAAATCTATCAACTCAGAATTTTTATAAGATGAATTCATGAAACAGAACATATCAGTATGATCCTGTCATTCTATCAATCTCTCTCTCTTTATACTCCAAAATTAAGATTGAGAGTTAGGCACTACAAGCTACATTACTAAACCAATTTCATCGACTCATTTAGGCAGAAACATTACATTTTTGACATTTGTACAAGATCCGCCAAGTATTTCTCGAAAGAGGTCTGACTGACTACATTGATGGAGACAGACGACTTAACACGGGCATTAAAAAAAACATAATAATCCTTCATGCTCCTGATAAGGATAAATAGAGCTCACCTGCGTGAAAATTGCTTTTGCTTTTGATATTTTAAGCCTTGAAGATATTTCACTTGGTGCAAAACTATCAGCAATGGACACAACTACATAGCCAGCAAGTACTATGGCCAGGTAGATCACCACAGAATTCACATGCATGGGCATATCAATAGCAATTGCAGATCCTTTCTCCAATCCCAGGGTTTCAATTGCATATGCAACCAGCCTAGGAAAGTTCTAAATGGAGTTTGAAATCATCTAACAGCGAAGTTCATAAACTCTTTAAGAAAATAAGAGTGCCATAGCATCATAGAAATCAGGAGTCGAATTCTCAAAACCACTAGAAAGCAGCATTTAAACCAGAATAGCACAATCCATAATACTGTTAACTTATTCAGCATTGAGGTGGTATGTTGTTATTAATAAAAAAGCAGAAAATCAAAAGGGGACCGCATTAACTCATAGGAATCTATAAGAATAAAGCGTATCTTTACACAATTATGATTATTTTTCTTGTTTCCTTTTAGGCATGTTTCCTTTCAAGTACCAAACCGGGGAGGAAGAAATCGGAATAGAGCAAGTTCCAGTTAAGTCATGCAATGAAGAGGTGGTACAATGTCATTAATAAGAAACCAGAAAATCAAAAGCCGGTAACGGTAACTTGTAGTTTTAAGAAGGATATAGCATTTTTTTTTTAAATAACCGTGGATGTCTGGGCCAGTTTACGCGCATCTTGACCAATCCCACGAGGCCCTGAAGTTTACGGCCGAATGCTCACCTCAATGACCCTGAGGGGACTCGAACTAATGACCATTGGGGCAAACCCAAGGATTGACAAATTGAGCAACCCCTCAGGGTTAAAGAATGTATCATTTTTTAACTAAATATAATTTTGTTTCTGCTTATTATCTCCATATCCTTTTAGATATGTTTCCTTTCAAATACCAATAGGGGAGGAAAAAATGAAATGCAGAAAGTTTTCATACGTCCCCAGGTCAAATATGGGGAGATGAGCTTTCCCCCAAAGGATATTCACATGTTTTGTGACAACAATAGGGAACTTTATTAAACTTCGATAATATGAACAGTCAACACCCTGAATTCTCTTTAAGCAAGTTTACACTACTATTTTTTATGCCAAGTTCTGAATTGTCGTTCAAGAAAATTTTAGTAAAAAGAAAATTATTGACGATTAAGCAGAGGATAAAAATAGCAGAAAAAGTCCATCTCAATGTGTATCCTTCGCTTTATATGCATAATAAATTTTAGGCAATACACTATACTGAGGGATAAGCAATGCTGTCGGTTAGCACTGATAGGATTTTGAGAGAAAAATTTCGAGATATGAAAACCAGCTAAGCACATCATAATATGTATCATGTATGATTTGCGTTCTACCCTACATTGTACAAAACAGATAAACATAACAATATATAATTTTTGGTGTTGATCAGGAAAATCATAAAAATGCCACATCCAATAATTGTCATCGTGATCAAATAATTATAAATGTCAAACAAATCTGCCAAACCAAAAATAGCTTACCAAACTGCTGAGCGTAACTCTCTAAAGGTCATCTTTTTTACAGGCACTTCATCAGCTCCTTCATCTTGCCATGTCAAGGCAATATCATCTAGATTTCTCTTCCCGTTTAGACACAGGCAATTCTTTGCTGGATTTGTATGTGCTCCAGGAAGCCAGTGACCACCAGGGTGTGTAGGATCCTCCCGCAAAATGCATTCTGGAGGAACTGAAAAGCAGATATTCATATCTTCTAATATAGTTTTCCAATAAACCTTTAGAAAACATAAGAAGGAACATTGATTAGGAAAACAGTTCATTAATCATGGTGACTCAATAGTTTGATAGTTAAGAAAGTGTTTAATTCTATACCTCGGGGTTCGAGACAGAAAATTCCTGAAAATCAAGGAAGCTGGAAATAGGGTCTTTGTATTTTGATCCTAAGAATTCTTTTCCACGCTTCTCCAATAGCCGGCCAACATTAGTAAAATTTGCACTAGCCCTATGTAACAGAACATTCATTAGGAAAACATTAAAATAAACAGTTCTAAGTGATAAGTTTTCACTAAATTCAATGTATTCGTAACTGAATGATGTGCAGAACAATATCAGAGATGACTAATTCTGTTTTCACTAGAATGGTAAATGCCCTCTCAAAATTATTGAACATGAAGCTGATGCAATTTTATTGCCCAATGAAATGCCAATGACCTAACTTATCTTGTGTATGCTTCATCTACTTGTTGATTGTTTCTTGATATAACAAGTCCGTAGGGAATTACAGACAAATTAGCTCATTGATGATTAAAATTGGATAATCTAACACCATTTTCTCTTATACTACTAATAATCAACCGTTTCTACTTCTTAAATGCCCGCTTGGCAACCAAAAGTTTAAAAACTTAACCTGCCCTTTTGATACAAAATTCTAAGAACTTGATAAAAATTAAAGTCAATTTCTTAAAGAAAATAATTGCTTCTCCAATTCCGGTGTTTTTGGATCTTGGTTTTGAATTGAATATGAAAATAGATTTCATTTAACAATTTTACCATATTTTAAGTGAAATGAATTTTCATTTCAGTTAGTTTAGGTTGAATTCACAAATCCTCTTTAAGTTTCAAATTTCAATTCACATGGTTACATGCAGGTGAAGACAAGAAATTTGACTCTTAACAATTAAGCCTCCATTTGGCAACCAATTTATAGATGGTTTATAAATTTAGTTAAAATCAAACACTAATTTCAACAAGATATTCAAAATTACAACTATTTTGTTAACCAAGCGTGGAATCCATTACTAATCCTCTTTATAAATGATTTATGATAAGCTTTTAGACTAGAATGGTTCAAGGCTTACTACCACCTAGTTATGAAAATTATGCACTTGACATTATTTAACCAAAATAGAATGAATAATGCTATTTGTAGTGAAACTAGTGGTAGTCTTTCTATTTTGGCATAAAAGTGACTGTTCGTGATTTGGTGCATTAATTTGATGCATAAGTCAATAAAAACTACAACGTTAATGCACCAAATCACGAACTGCGACTTGTATGCCAACCACCGATATTCTTCGCTACAAATATCATTACTCGAAAAGAATGTATGCAGCACGCTGGACACAAAATTTAAATAAATAATTGCAGTCCCTGGACTAACCCCTTAAGCTTTTCGAAGATACAGTTAACAATCATATCACATAAACATGTACTCTAAAATAAAATAGAACCACATACGAGTCAGGTACCCAAGCAACAGGATCAGGCCCAAATTCCTTGTAGCACCCATAATACATCATCTGATGGAAGGAAAACGGAAGCTCTGGACTTAAAACTTGCTTACAAATCATCTGCCATGTTTGGGGAGTTCCAGCACCGTAATCACGAATTATTCCGGCGAGTTTTCCGTGAATCCGATCGGCGACTTCAATTGGTATGCACAACGCCGATATATCGGCGGCGGTGATAGAATCGAGGGACTTGTAATTATGAGTCGCCATTTTTCGAATTTTTTTGATGCTGCTGAGAATTGAAAATCTGATGTATAGTGCTTACATGTATTTGTATACGTAGAGACACGGGGTGCAGAGATAGTGATAAGGTTGTGTAAGAATGATGGACTTCATGGTCCAACTGATCCCCTGCTTGCACAAAGGCCTGTTTGGTTTAGCTAAAAAAATTATTAAAAATTTAAAATAAAGTTAACTATTAATTTTTTTATCAATTTTCTAATCCTATATTTCATCATTTTTTATTCTAAAAACTTATTTAATTTTTTAATATTAAGTACAAAAGCAATTTAAAAATATAAAGCAGAAAATACGGGTCTCAATTCGCAATGTGGGACGGTCGTGGTCGGGTCGGGGGATCCTTGATTTTAAAAACTGAATAATTGATTTTCAATTTTAGCAGAAAAAGTTTTTCAAAATACTGAGGGTACAAAACATAATTGTTTTTTTATTATCTTATATTTATAATTTATCATCTTAAGTTTATGCATTTATTATCGACTGTTGTAAATCATATTCACTAACATCGATCAAGCTGTCCAATACACCACCCTTTTTCAAATACAAATTACACCAACAAATCTACTAAAGTCAAGCAAATGAAGAAATTTCTAAAATGACCTAAAATTGCGAGTAAAAAATAATGTTACTCTAAGCTGCCGCCGCCACGAAGTAATTTGGACGAATTGGATGTACTAAAGCGTTTAGATGCTGCAGGGATGATTCGTGATGGCGACACGATTTCAGCAAAAGATAAATTATACGAATCTATTTCTAATCGGCTCTGCGACCAACCCTTGCTTCCAGAGAAGCCATCGATCACAACCCAGCAATTCTTGAAGCCTAGATTTGATAGTGCTCTAGCAACTATTTTAGCTGAATCTGAGTACCTAGACAATTCATAAATTTGAGTTATCGAAACGAGTACAAAATCTAGGTACATGAACATGTTTGGCTAAGCTCAAGAATGAACATGCTCTTAATACGAAAACGATAATTCTAGTCCCACATCAATCGTGGAAGGTCTATCTCATTGGGCTTATAAGCACATTTAGCGCCCTCCACTTACAAGTCTATTTTAAGGGCGTGTTTTACCTAATGCGCTTATAAGCCCACAAGACAGTTCTTTCACGAGTGACATGTTTCACGAGTGACATGAGACTCAGAAGTAGTCGTTACATATTCATTTTTATATCGAAATAACAAACAAGCAAAAGGTAAATAGAACTCACGAGTCCAATATCACAATGTTGGAACCTTTACCAATTCTCTTCAGATAAGAGATCTTCAATGCCACTAATTCAGCTTCCACTTTCTTCACACTTTTTACTAGGCTTCTGATTTTGCTAGGTAATTCTTCTAAACTGAGAAGTACAGGGAGAGTAACAAGTTTTATTTAGTCTTGTACTCGAGAAAGTAGAATCTGGCAATAAACCTTGAACAAATAGAAGCTTTTTGTCAAGTAGAACTTCCTCTTAGCTAATTCCAAGTTATGACAAAAGTTTCAGTTTTGTTTACAAGGCTATTTTAGTATGTGATATCCTGATACAATACAGTTTTGAAGCTAAAACTTGTGAAAGACAATATTAACGTGCTCAACTTAGCTGTTTCATAAAAAAAATAAAAAATCTCGAAGAAAGTTCACTTACGGGATCGATATCAATTTGTTTTTAGAGGGAAGGCGAGGAACACCAGCCTTGTTTTTGTCTTTCTCTGATCTTATATCGATCATAAGGTAATTCTTTGTGGACATCAGATCAAGAGTTTGAGCAGGAGTCAGGTCACCTGAGAAAAGAATTCGGAACAAAAGAGAAGATCATTCGACAAAGTAACAGAAACTATATAAAAATTAATAGCATCAATCAGTCTTGGAAGCTGGCTTAACATAAGATCTAAGAAAACATGAAAAAACTACAAATGAATTTGCAGAATACCAAAAGTGAAGCAATTTATTTTGTTCATCACGATGTGAACTCGGGAAGAAGAAACTGTGAGATCAATAGAAGCAGAAAAATTACCCTTGTAACCCCGAAAGCCGAAAGAGATGGCAGAGAAGACAGGAGGAAGTAAGAGATATGCAAGGAATAATGCACCACCAGCCACGACAATTATGACAGGATCTGCTGATGAGATAGTTTCAACAGTGGAGGTGGCTATAGGTTTCACCTCATCAATAACTTTTGTTGTTTGTTGTGCAGCATCAACAACTGTCTGCAGCCACGAAGATTGTTTCTCAGTTGAGATTAGAATTGCACGGACAATACATGCGTTGAAGACTAAATATTATAATATAAGTCAGTCCCCTCTTTGAAAATCTTAGCGATTCAATAATGCGGTTCAACATAGTATCCAATCTAGCTATCACCCATTCAATCTTCAACAAACATTGAATCCGGCCTGCACGTGGGGTGTTGAGGACCAAAATTTAAATGAATAAATTTCTCCATTCTCTAATAGTTGAAGCTTTAAGACGTCACGATTCAATAACACAAAACCACTTATTCGGAATAATTGCTCCAGATGTTGAATGATAGTACATATAAATTCACATTGTAAGCCAAACATATTGTCAAGCTACTGACTATACAATCTAGTGATTTCAAAAGATTCACCAAACCGAAAAATTCCAACTCCCTTAATTTGAATTTTGCAAAATATTTAAATACTTAAATATGCTAACTCCGTTTATGCTTTTTCTCACGGTTTTAGCAAGATAATTACAAAATTGAAAATCAGAACAGATGATTAATTGATTATTATCAATCAGCACAAAATTGTTTCACGCTATTGATTCAATACAGCCCTACGGCCCTTACCTGATCATAGTTGAGCTACATGGCAAATTTGTGCAATGATTAGGTAATATCCTATCTACGTTAAGCCAACTTTTAGAGAAACTGAAGTTCAAATTTGAAGATAAAATGTTGTAAAAGAATAGCACAAAACGATTCGATAAGTTCCAGTCCCAACTCTCATTAAGATAATGCAATTTTCTTGCTCGTCAACTGTTTGGATTAATCCTAATCTAAGTTTAATCAATAGGCAGACAAAAGAATTCAGACTTTATCGATGACTACTTTATTTCCTCTCATTTTCCCAGTCGAAAGTTTTATCAATAATCCAACACTCCTTGAAATATAATTTGAAACTCAAGTTCATATATGTGCTCCCTCCAAATCAGGAAAAAGGTTTATACGTTATTACCAACAGTATTACTAGCAGAATATGATAAAGACAGAGAATTATTTCCACGTTTCCTATGGTGATATTGTACAGATTTCCCATGATTATTTCCATAATAATTTGATTGTGTAACTAGTATAGAATCTTTATTTCTAACCCTATAAATAGGACCTTTTTCTGTTATATGAATCCGTAGTTTCTAGCAACCACGTGACATTACTTGAAGTAATTATCCATTTACCTTAGTTGCACTTATAACTGGCTGTGTGTCAATGCCAGAACTCTGCATTGTCTCTTGGGCTTTCTTAGAGACCTCAGAAACCACAGGAGATGCAATCTTCGCAGCCTGTTCTCCGGCTTCCTTTAGGATAGGCAATGCCACATCAACTCCTGGTTTCACAGCTTCCAACACGCCTCCAATTACCTGCCGTGCAACATCAAAAATGTTGGATCCTACTTCTTGAACTTGATTGATTGTCGACTCCACCTGAAAACACGGCAAATTTACTCAGTTTCTAAGTTGGAGGGGCCCGAGAACAAGCCTAGGACTCGGCATGATGTTTATTTTTGAGGGACATCGCATAAATAATTTCTCAAGAACAATGCGGAACCATTTTAAGATTAATTTACCAACAAAAACAGCAAAAACAAGCAAATCCAAAATTTGGGTTTCAAATAAAATTCAAGAAAACGCCATCAATCCATACTCCAAAATTAGAAAAAAAACCCACAAAACAAAAACACATACATTGTCCTCTAAAATGAAAATGTAACAGACATAAAGAAATATATCACTATTTCATCATGATTTATCCCGAATAAAGCTAGTAAAGACAAGAAAGTGATTGAAGTAACAAAACGAAAAAATAAAGTCTCACCCCACCCATTTATAAAAAGTTGGCATATCGTAAAATGAATCAATGAAGCTTTTACACTTGATGGTTAAAGCTGTACCTGGTCGAGAGAAGAGACAATCTGTTCTTTAGAAATAGCAAGAGCATTGGCCTCATAAGGAACTGTGAAGAGCACAAATAGTGGCAGAGTAGTTTTGGCTGAGGGAGACAAAGATTTTGGTGTGAGTTTAGAACAAGAAAATGACTTGCGGGGTGGTGGAGATGGTGGAAGAGTGGGCGATCTTACAGTGGCTGAAGCTCTTAGGGCCATCACCTTAGGCCTTCTGCCAACGCTCACGCTGTGAATTGATTGTGGGTCTAATTTGGTTGGTGAGAATCGTTGGAAGAAGAATTGTGATTGTGAATGGCCAAATTGATCACCGTAGGTTGATTTGATTCGACATGAGTGTGCAAATTATAAATACTTCAACTGCAGCCACAAAGATGAATCGAAGTGTAGGAGTGAAGATGAAGTGGGCCATTGTAATTTATTTCCACAAAATCTTTGGCTTACTATTGCTGCCTCACGTGCCATGATGTGCACACCTTTGATGCCTTTGAATGCATGTATTAGCGTCTTTGTGTATCGTGATGTGCACACATTGTTACCTTCGTGCTGTCCACATTGTTGCCTTCAGGGTGCAGTACGCCGCCTACCATTGGTGCAAGTTACTGTTTTTGAAAGCCGAAGGATGACCCACGTCGGCGACATAAGTTAAAATACTGATATGAAAGAATCTGAATACATACTTCATATTCCAATTCAACCGTAATATATACATGGAGGTAGTAGCAAGAATATTCCAGAAGAGGAATGAGGGAGAAACTGATTTCTACAATTGGTTAACAGAATTATTTTAATCCATAAAATTCTGGAAATGTAACAATGCTGATATCCTATCCATGTGAGCTGGCTGCGCATTCCATGTGAGCTGATCGATCAATTCTAACTCAGAATTCCTCTTAGCTAATTCCAAGTTATAACAAAAGTTTCAGTTTTGTTTACAAGGCTATTTTAGTATGTGATATCCTGATACAATACAGTTTTGAAGCCATAACATGTGAAAGACAAAATTAACATGCTCAACTTAGCTGTTTCATTAAAAAAAAAAATCTTGAAGAAAGTTCACTTACGGGATCGATATCACTTTGTTTTTAGCACTGGAGGGAAGGCGAGGAACACCAGCCTTGTTTTTGTCTTTCTCTGATCTTATATCGATCATAAGGTAATTCTTTGTGGACATCAGATCAAGAGTTTGAGCAGGAGTTAGGTCACCTAAGAAAAGCATTCGGAACAAATGAGAAGATCATTCGACAAAGTAACAGAAACTATATAAAAATTAATAACATCAATCAGTCTTGGAAGTTGGCTTAACATAAGATCCAAGAAAATGTGAAAAAACTACAAATGAATTTGCAGAATACCAAAAGCGAAGCAATTTATTTTGTTCATCACGATGTGAACTCGGGAAGAAGAAACTGTGAGATCAATAGAAGCAGAAAAATTACCCTTGTAACCCCGAAAGCCGAAAGAGATGGCAGAAAGGACGGGAGGAAGTAAGAGATATGCAAGGAATAATGCACCACCAGCCACGACAATTATGACAGGATCTGCTGATGAGATAGTTTCAACAGAAGAAGTGGCTATAGGTTTCACCTCATCAATAACTTTTGTTGTTTGTTGTGCAGCATCAACAACTGTCTGCAGCCACGAAGATTGTTTCTCAGTTGAGATTAGAATTGCACGGATAATACATGCGTTGAAGACTAAATATTATAATATAAGTCAGTCCCCTCTTTGAAAATCTTGGCAATTCAATAATGCGGTTCAACATAGTATCCAATCTAGCTATCACCCATTCAATCTTCAACAAACATTGAATCCAGCCTGCACGTGGGGTGTTGAGGACCAAAATTTAAATGAATAAATTTCTCCATTCTCTAATAGTTGAAGCTTTAAGACGTCATGATTCAATAACACAAAACCACTTATTCGGAATAATTGCTCCAGATGTTGAATGATATTAGTACATATAAATTCACATTGTAAGCCAAACATATTGTCAAGCTACTGACTATACAATCTAGTGATTTCAAAAGATTCACCAAACCGAAAAATTCCAACTCCCTGATTTGAATTTTGCAAAATATTTAAATACTTAAATATGCTAACTCCATTTATGCTTTTTCTCACGATTTTAGCAAGATAATTACAAAATTGAAAATCAGAACAGATGATTAATTGATTATTATCAATCAGCACAAAATTGCTTCACGCTATTGATTCAATACAGCCCTACGGCCCTTACCTGATCATAGTTGAGCTACATGAGAAATTTGTGCAATGATTAGGTAATATACTATCTACCTTAAGCCAACTTTTAGAGAAACTGGAGTTCAAATTTGAAGATAAAATGTTGTAAAAGAATAGCACAAAACGATTCGATAAGTTCCAGTCCCAACTCTCATTAAGATAATGCAATTTTCTTGCTCGTCAACTGTTTGGATTAATCCTTGTAATCTAAGTTTAATCAATAGGCAGACAAAAGAATTCAGACTTTATCGATGACTACTTTATTTCCTCTCATTTTCCCAGTCGAAAGTTTTATGAATAATCCAACACTCCTTGAAATATAATTTGAAACTCAAGTTCATATATGTGCTCCCTCCAAATCAGGAAAAAGGTTTATACATTACCAATAAAGCTATTTGTACAAAGTTGAGTTACAAAAGTTGGGTTACAAAGTGTGTTGGCAAAATCCAGACCGTTGATTTCAAATGATTTAAAAATCTGTTTTTAAAATGATTGGTGTAGATGTCATTTTGTCAACCAACTTTGTAATCCCAACTTTGTACATGTAGCATAACTCGTTATGTTATTACCAACAGTATTACTAGCAGAATATGATAAAGACTAGCAGAATATGATAAAGACAGAATTATTTCCACATTTTCTATCGTGATATTATACAGATTTCCCATGATTATTTCCATAATAATTTGATTGTGTAACTAGTATAGAATCTTTATTTCTAACCCTATAAATAGGACCTTTTTCTGTTATATGAATCCGTAATTTCTAGCAACCACGTGACATTACTTGAAGTAATTATCCATTTACCTTAGCTGCACTTATAACTGGCTGTGTGTCAATGCCAGAACTCTGCATTGTCTCTTGGGCTTTCTTAGATACCTCAGAAACCACAGGAGATGCAATCTTCACAGCCTGTTCTCCGGCTTCCTTTAGGATAGGCAATGCCACATCAACTCCTGGTTTCACAGCTTCCAACACACCTCCAATTACCTGCCCTGCAACATCAAAAATGTTGGATCCTACTACTTGAACTTGATTGATTGTCGACTCCACCTGAAAACACAGCAAAATTACTCAGTTTCTAAGTTGGAGGGGCCCGAGAACAAGCCTAGGGCTCGGCATGACGTTTATTTTTGAGGGACATCGCATAAATAATTTCTCAAGAACAATGCGGAACCATTTTAAGATTAATTTACCAACAAAAACAGCAAAAACAAGCAAATCCAAAATTTGGGTTTCAAATAAAATTCAAGAAAACGCCAAAAAAAAAAAAAAACCCACAAAACAAAAACACATACATTGTCCTCTAAAATGAAAATGTAACAGACATAAAGAAATATATCACTATTTCATCATGATTTTCCCGAATAAAGCTAGTAAAAGACAAGAAAGTGATTGAAGTAACAAAACGAAAAAATAAAGTCTCACCCCACCCATTTATAAAAAGTTGGCATATCGTAAAATGAATCAATGAAGCTCTTACACTTGATGGTTAAAGCTGTACCTGGTCGAGAGAAGAGACAATCTGTTCTTTAGAAATAGCAAGAGCATTGGCCTCATGAGGAACTGTGAAGAGCACAAATAGTGGCAGAGTAGTTTTGGCTGAGGGAGACAAAGATTTTGGTGTGAGTTTAGAACAAGAAAATGACTTGCGGGGTGGTGGAGATGTTGGAAGAGTGGGCGATCTTACAGTGGCTGAAGCTCTTAGGGCCATCACCTTAGGCCTTCTGCCAACGCTCACACTGTGAATTGATTGTGGGTCTAATTTGGTTGGTGAGAATCGTTGGAAGAAGAATTGTGATTGTGAATGGCCAAATTGATCACCGTAGGTTGATTTGATTCAACATGATTGTGCAAATTATAAATACTTCAACTGCAGCCACAAAGATGAATCGAAGTGTAGGAGTGAAGATGAAGTGGGCCATTGTAATTTATTTCCACAAAATATTTGGCTTACTATTGCTGCCTCACGTGCCATGATGGGCACACCTTTGATGCCTTTGAATGCATGTATTAGCGTCTTTGTGTATCGTGATGTGCACACATTGTTACCTTCGTGGTGTCCACATTGTTGCCTTCGTGGTGCAGTACGCCGCCTACCGTTGGTGCAAGTTACTGTTTTTGAAAGCCAAAGGATGACCCACGTCGGCGACATATCATGCCATCAATGTTGTCCCTTGATGTATATTGTTTTAGGGTAGTTTTGTTGCGCTACTATCTGGATGTTCGTCCGTTATATTAGGAATACCATTTAAACACAAAGTCTGATGGATTGGGCAAACTATATTTGTTTAACAACAGAAGATCGTGCCAAATTATGGACATTAACTTGCAGTGCTTAAGTCAGGGTCTCGAAATCAAGGCAAATGTTTTAGCTCACACTGGAAGGTTCCTCAAGCGTCTCTTTTATCATCGCATCGAAAGTCTCTGTGGTGTAAGATTAGTCATAGTTATTGATAAAAACCTTCTCTTTATTTATAATGCATGCCTCGAGTGCTTTTAGAGAATCTTTAAACGACTTGTTTATGCATTCTTCTTCTCTTATTCCCATTCAATTTCTGAGTAGATTATTTCCTCTTTTTACAATAAACCCTTTTCAGATAGCGATGTTTTTACCACAATTAACCTTCTAACAAAGCCCTTTGAATTCCCAGATACTATGCATCCTTCGTAAATATACAAAAAATAGAAAGGAAAATGATAAAAATTACAAATATCTTGGCTATCAAAAATAGTTTTTCAAAGTAATTTTATGAACTAAATACTTAATTTTTATGTATTTTTTTTATTACTTTAGGAAAGAATTGGGATTGGATGAGAACGAATGAAAAGTAGCAATAAATGATTAAAAATGAGTAAAATAGGACGTGTTTTGAAAGTTGGCGACCAAGGAGTCACATTTGGTAGTTGAAGGACCTTAATTGCAATTTAAAGACCCAATTTGAATTAAAAGAGGAAACTGAGACCAAATTACACCAAGGGTGTGTTTGAGCCATATTATTTTGGAAGAATGTATTCTGGAATAGTGGATTGATGGAGAATGTGTGGTTGAAAAAGAAAAAAAAAGTTATTGATGTGATGTAAAATATTATTTTATTGAAAAATGTGTGGTTGAAAATAAGTAAAAAAATGAGAATGAAAAAAATAATGTGGATCAAACGTGGGCCAAGAAAGATTAATTTCCAGCAATTTAGAAAANAACGTGGGCCAAGAAAGATTAATTTCCAGCAATTTAGAAAATCCTAATTTGACCACAATTATGATTCCCTATCCTCTAGGGACTCTATTTTGAATAATGATATTTGTACATAATAAATTATATAAAAATTTACATATGAGATGTCAAAAAGAAAGTGGAGAATTTCTTTTATTTGGTTGAAGAAAAGAATGTGGAGAATTTTTTGTGTGTATGTAAATCATTGTGTACATATAGTACACCGCTCTATTTTAGACCTAAATTAAGGTCTATATATATAGACACGTCAAAATACATAAATTTCTCAAGATTTGTACATCAATTTGAGGAATAATTACTTGATTGGTCACTGAACTTCAAAAGTTTCTATATTAGTCACTGAATGATGGATGAAATTACATTTTGTAAAGTTTGGTGACTAACGAAAAAAAATTTAGAGTTCAATGACCCCATAAAAACCTTACGCAAAGTTCAATGACCATTCAGGTAATTAATCAATATTTATTTATTTATTTTCAGTCTTTTTCTTTCTTTTTTTCTTTTTTTATGTACTACTACCCCCACAATTTTATTCTTTCTATTATCACCAAATTTAGAAGGAAAAAAAAAAAAGAATAGCTTTTTATGTCGAGGATAACCAACAAAGTTGTCTACTGACCTCTCTAAAATCAAATAAAGAAAAACTAAAGAATATATAAAAGATTGATAATTTACTTGATTAGTCACTGAATTTTGCGCAAGGTTTCCAAGGAGTCACTGAATTTTGAAAGTTACCCCGTTAGTCACCGAACTCTACAAAATATAATTTCATCCATCATTGAGTGATGTATGAAATTACATTTTATAAAGTTCATGGACTAATGAGAAAAGTTTTGAAATTCAGTGATCTCTTAGAAAACTCCATGTAAAGTTCGGCAACCAATCAAGTAATTATCCCATCAATTTGAGATGTAAAGATTGAAAAATACAATTGATCGGGAAAATTTATAATCAATCAAGGAAGAATTGAAGATCTTTGTTGGGATTTGGGTACCAAGAACAACAATAGCTTGAATTAACTCTTTAATCATTCTATTGAACCTAATGATATTTTTCAACTTTTTTATTTAATTTCAAAAATATGATTGGCTAACTTTCTTATTGTCATGATGAATGACGGAGCTTGTGTTAATATTTATTTAATTCACTAGATTTCATGACAATTTGATTATGTATTAGTTGCTTATTGTACGCCACATTGACACCCAATTACTTGATCACCAATTGCATGTTTTAAGGATGATATTGAGATCGAGATGAGATATATTTATCTAATTCATGCAATAAGCATATGTTTGGTCGCTATTTTTTTCAAAAACTCATTTTTTTAAAAAAACTCATTTTCAACCGCATAATCTCCCATACAATTTTACACGTAAATGGAAAAAAAATCTTATATTTTAACTATACATTCTCAAAAAAAATTACTATTTCAAAATACATTTTTTAACCAAAATGAGGCTCAAACATGGCTAAGTACTATAAGTTTTGATAAGTAATCGAGATATATTTTTATAGCTTATGCAATCATAATTGAATTACTATAATTGAATTTTTTTTCATGTGTATGAATTTATATAGAAATGTAGTAAATTTAGGTATATGAATAGGGTTCATTTTGCTTAAGAAAGATTGCTAACTAAAATTGATTAATTTGATTGTTAATCCATAAAGAGGTTGAATGAAATTGGATTGGATGAATGTTAAGTAATCTTAGCAAAATCGAAATTGCTAACCACTAAATCCCAAAAATCCTTCACAAGCTCATTAAATTAGATTAAATTAGGATGTGTTTGAGCCCCATTTTTTT